TAAGTCGATAAATAACTTTAAACTTTAACACATGCTCTGATAGGCCGGGATCGGGACATCCCTAATACGGCTGCTTGTCTTTCTGAATATGTTCCTTAATTTATTTCAATTTATTTTACTGAACATCAAGCTGTTGGAAAAATGTGAGGAGAAATGGGAGTATTTTTTTCCCATTCGGGGGGTGGCTATGCTATTGTATGGTTTTTTATATTTATTTATTTTATATTTATATTTTATATTGGTCTTATATATTTATCTATTATCTATATTCTGTGTGGAATTTTATATATATATATATATGTATGTATATCTGTATAGACATATACATATGTATATGCCGTTGTTTTATTTATGGAGCTAGTAACAAAAATCATTTCCCTCTGGGATAATTAAAGTATTTCTGATTCTGATTTTGCTGGTTGTGCGTCCCAGCTGAACAAAGCAACATCTTTTTATTTGTGTGTTTTGAGTTTTATTTGTTGTGTGTTTGTGTGTTTTGAGCAGAGCTGAACAGCGTGGAGCTGCAGGGCTGCAGCAGCGACAGCCTGAACAGCAACGCCAGCCTCCCCAGCGTTCAGAGCCACCGCCGCCACACCGAGCGCCGCGTGGCCAGCTGGGCCGTGTCCTTCGAGAGGCTCCTGCAGGACCCCCTGGGGGTCCGCTACTTCTCGGTACTTAACTCATTCGCTGCCAAAGACGTCTATAGACGTCTTTTCAAATCCAACCGCTGACTGCCAAAGACGTCTATAGACGTATTTTATGTTTTTCAATGCGAGTGGCTTGGGGGACGATCTGCTAAAGCTTGTCCGTAAATATCAGGCTTCTAGACAGAGTATGTACTAACAAATTGACCCTCTAGGGGGCAGTGCCACTTTTGATGGGAGATGAGCATAGACTGTAGGCAAATAAAAACAAACGCAATAGTTCGCTATGAGAGAAATGGCGCCGGTGAGACGCACGTCGAAGAAGAGCGGAATAAGGTAGAAACAAAAACTTTTTTCCTGATGAAAGAAGAGAGTCTACTCTTTCTTTTGGTGTGTTCGGTGTTTACATAGTCATAGCACAAACTATTCTGTGGCTCTTGAAAAATCAGTCAAAATTCTCAAAAAACTCTGGCAGTGAGCGACTCTCTGTTCTGAAAATGGCTGGCAGTCAATGAGTTAAAGGAGACATATTGTACCCTATTTGGTAACCTTAATTTCCTGAGGGAGTCTTCCCAAGGGATCAATAAAGTACTGTCTAAGTCTAAGTCTATTTCAACAAGTTAAGCTAGTAACAAAAATAATTTTCCTCTGGGATTATTAAAGTATTTCTGATTCTTATCCTAAATATCATATCTTTGCGTTTTATATTTTGTTAGACCATGAAGCTTATTCATATAGTCTGCTAGTCATTTTTTTAGTCTTTACAGCAAAGAACATTTTAAATTCCATCTATACTTTAATTAGGTTTGTGTGCTAAATACTGTTTGCATTGCTTTTTTTTTTTTTAAGATGCACCTTTTCCTGTTAGTGGATCTCTGATTTACCATTTTAAAAGTGTACAGGCCCAGACTCTGTTCACTTTGTTTTGGAGAGCTGACAATTTGACCTCAGAATCTCAGATTATCATAATTCCTGCTTCTCTGTCCCTCAAATTCCAAACCAGAGTTTGGCTGAAGAGCTTTTTTAAAGGAGTCATATTATACCCTATTTCAACAAGTTAACCTAGTTCCCTGGTGTCCTAATGTAATGTTTGTGACAAGCTTTGGTCAAAATCCCATAAGGATGAAGCCCAATAGCAGTTCAGTCCCCCTGCCTAACCCTAACCCTAACCCTAACCCTAACCCTAACCCGAAACAGCCCCGTTCAGAGCGCTCGCTTTGGAGTGCCTGTCTCTTTAAATGCAAATGAGACACAGGCAATCCCCCCACTTCTTCTAGGAAGAAGTGGGGGGATTGCCTGTGTCTCAGTGTGTCTCTCCACACTTTGCCTGCTGATAGGCCCTCCACAGTCCCAAATGTACATAATCAAATGATTAAAAACTTGGTTTTGCATAATATGTCCCCTTGAAGCAAACCAACAGCTCTTACTAACAAAAACACTTGGAAATCTCTCTTCTTTTTCAAATAACTCTGAAGAAACCTTTATGATGCTTTTAATTCATCGTTGTCATCGTTGTTGAAAAATAAGTCAAAATGCTCAAAAAACTCTGGCAGTATGGGTCTCTCTGTTCTGAAAATGGCTGGCAGTCAATGAATTAAAAACTTTTCCATGTTGGGGGTTGTCATGTTGAATAACGGAGGCTATAGGCAGAACGCAGCCGCACTAAACAGATACTAAACAGTAGTGCGGTTATGGTTAGAAATCCCCTTTCTATTCTTTCCCTGCAGGAGTTCCTAAAGAAGGAGTTCAGTGAGGAGAACATCCTCTTCTGGCAGGCCTGTGAGTTCTTCAGCCACGTCCCGGAAAATGACAACAAACAGGTAAACTCCTCCGACCGAACGCAGACCCACGTTTCAAAACCCTCCGGAGTTAGAAAACGGGGGGAAACCTCGACCCTGTTGCTGTTTCCCTACACTCAGCTCTTTTAAAACCCTTTTAAAGACCCACTTTTTCACTCAGGCCTTTGAGTGAGACTTTGACTTTATCGTAGTTGTCTTAATTTCCCTCTCTTACTTGGTTTTGTTTTTATTTTTTGCTCTTACTCTTTTTAATCTTTGAGTTTGTCTTGTGTTGTGGTGATAATTGTGTTTTATGATTCGCTCAAATGGCCTG